TAGCAACATTTAGTGAATGAATGTTACATTTTAAATGTTGCAAAAATTCATTTTTCTTGTAGTGCGATTTATAATGCTTGATTGCTTTTAATATTGAACTATCATCACTTAAAATTAATAGTTAGAAACAATATTAATCTTGTTTGTTATGATCAAAACATTAAGAATGAAATCAACCATATGTCAACATTTATTGTATTAGATGTAGTGTTGTGATTCCATAAATATTAATCTTTACATTGTTTTAATATTTGCGCACCATTAGGACAATAAGTTGCTTATTCATGGTGTTGAAAAACTCGTAATAGGTAGAATGTTGTTTATGGAACACATGGACAAAAATGTTAGGAATAATATTTATGGCTTGTGCGATCACGTGCGATAATTCTAAATGTAAATGCATGTTTTTCATATGATTTCTAACTAGGAATAAGGTCGGGCCGTGTTAAACATAGGTTTATTATATTTTGAAAAAGAATGGTAAATAAAACCGGATTATCGACTGTCACAAATGCATGAATTGCATCAATTAACACAAGTTGATAATTGGAATTAGAAATTGATTAGTTGAGTCGGATATCCAATATATTCACTCATATTTGATTTAAAAATCATATTTAATTGCTTTCGTAGGATAAAATTAGCATAATTAAAAACACAATCAATCTCTTTTGTTAAAAATATCGAATTTGATAATATCAAATATACCAGAATTAAACCATATTCCCCGTAAGACGATGTTTTTCTTATCACATTATTACTTGTCAACGAATCCATACGCTTGCGGGATTTCATCTTGACATATTTCATTGAAAAATACATGTGTAATGTTCACGTTATGTTATGACTTATGATTAGCAATATAAAACACTCATTGATTTGCCTTTCCATTTATTGCATTTTAATTGTAAATGTTCAAAAATCTCACGGTGGTCTAAAAACTCAAATGAAGGCCAAAAATATCTTCTTAAGTCTAAAAAAGGAACGATGCATAACTTACACGTATAAGAATTACATTTCAAAAGTAACAAACTTGTCAAATTATTTCAAAATTCAGGTGTTAA